GGTGCCCTCTTCTGGCCTGCAGGGATACATGCAGGCAGAACACTGTATACATAATAAATAAACCTTTAAAAAAAAAAAAAAAAAAAAAAAAAAAAAAAAAAAAAAAAAAAAAAAAAAAAAAAATAACCATCCCCGTTAAACATATAAAACCCCAAACGACTTCTCCCTTCCTCCTGGAGTGCTGACAGCCCAGCGCTTGACCTCATCAGACCCAAGCCGTATTACCGGTGAGAATTGATGGCTTCGGTGGTGTTTTATTATTGTGCCTTTTCTTCTATTCTTCTTGTTTTTTCCATTACACGGTTTGAACCACAAAAGCCAGAGCTCTCGAGCTGATGCCATTCCGTTCAGCTTCCTGGCTGACTGGTGGCTGTTTGGAGCCTCCCAGCTGGGATCCGAGATGGCACAGCCCCCGCCCCCCCCCCGGAGGAAGCATAGCCAAGAGACTCCTGGGTGTCGTGAGTGGTGGGTGTGTAGTGTCATGGAAAGTTGGCAGGCTCTTCATGTCCCTTGCCTGGCCACTGTGATGTGTTTCCTCATAACAGACAGAGGCAGGGCCGGAGAGCAGAGAAGGCTATATCCCTGGTGCGTAGAAGGGAACCTTGATCCAGGGGCTCTGCTTTAGACATTGAAAGAAGTGTTTAGGAATGGTTGGGCTAGAATTCTGGTTGTGTCTTTTAGCCAGTTCTGGGTCCATGGGCAAGTTGTCTCATCTCTCTGGGCTTCAGCTTCCCAATCTGTAAAATGGGCACAGAGATTACAGCATCATCACAGCTTCATGGACTCATGCCTGTGGCATTCTCCAGAACCTTTAATGCATATGGGGCTTGCTCCTGAGATTATATAGTGTACGCTTTATATTTTATTTTATTTCTAATTTTTTTGCAGTTTATTAAAACTCAGGGTCTTGTACATCCCACATGAATACTCTACCACTGAGCTACATCCCTAGTCTGTTATTAATTAACTAATTAATGAGTTGTGGTGCTGAAAATTGAACCCAGAGCCTCAAGCTTGCTAGGCAAGTACTCTACCACTGAGCTGTGTCTCCAGCTATGTATGTATGTATGTATGTATGTGTATGTATATATGTGTGTATGTATATATGTATGATATATGTATATATGTATGTATGTGTGTACATATATATGTATGTATATATGCATGTATGTATGTGTGTATGTACGTATGTATATATATGTATGTATATATGTATGTATGTATATATGTATGTCTCTATGTACTTATTTATTTATTGTGGTGCTGGGAATTGAACCAAGAGCTTCATGCATGCTAGGTGAGCACTATACCTCTTGAGCTATACCTCCAGTCCCAAACGCACACTTTAATTTCCACACGTAAACACGCATTTCAGTTGCACGAGAGGAGCTGAGTTAGTACCCCCAAGCACATACTTTCCCACATGTGATTGTTCATAGCGAGACTCAACCTATTTGGATCAAAAATTACCTCCACAAATGCCTAAAGAAATATTTGATTCCAGGTTATGACAAAAAAAAGTCCTGATGCTTGGTATTTCCTCATCCATACATGCTTTGTATCAGAGTATGTCCCTAGCCTGTCTAGGGCGAGGGTTCTCTCCCTGAGTGTTGAAACCCATCCATATCTCAGAATACCGTGATCAACTTCATAAAACACATACTCTAGAAAGGAGACTAATCGTGTTGAGATGGTTATCAAGTTATTATCATGGTTATTGTTGTCACTTTGGACTCTTGATCCTCCTGCCTCTACCTCCCACATGTTGGGGTTATGGATGCAATCCACTATGCCAGGTTTATTTGGTGTTGAGGGCCAAACGTAGGGCTTGGTGCACGGTAAGCAAACAGTTTACCAACGGAGTTCCGTCCTCAGAACCTGGGAGGATGCTGAGCAGGAAGCCACAGAGTGGATGCTGAGGCTCAGCAGGATTTGCGGGTGATGCCAAGGGGACCTGGTTTGGTTCTGCATCTCATCCTGTGATTTCCATCTTTTTTATTCTCCCGTCTCCTCCCCTCTCCCCTGCCTCTCTTCTCTCTACTTCAGACAATAGCCACCGTGATCAGCACTATCCTGCGGCCTTCTCATTCTGTCTCTCAACAACCCTTTGAACTGGGAATTTTTTAAAGTGGGGGCACTTCCACTCATAGTCTCGTGAATATTTATTTAAAATTTTAATTATGCATATATGTGTGGGGGAGGGGCATTATGTACACACAAGTGCAGATGTGTGCAAACCACACAAAAGGGTGTTTGGCTCTCCTGGAGCTGGAGTTACAGGTGGTTGTGAGTTGCCTGATATGGGTGCTGAGAACAGAACTTAGCTACTGAGCCATCTTTCCAGCCCCTGAGGATCTCTTCTTTTAATTATTATTATTATTAGTGTGTGTGTGTGTGTGTGTGTGTGTGTGTGTGTCCATGCATATGTACATGTGATATGTATTTGGGACATGCACATGCCGTAGTGTGCATGGGGAGGTCAGAGCACAACTTGGTGGAGTTGGTTCTCCCCCTTCACCTTTACATGGGTTCCAGGGATTAAACTCAGGTCTCCAAGCTTGGGCAGCAAGTTCCTTACCCACTGAGCCATCCTTCCTGACTGTGAACTAGGGACATTTATTGCACCCCTCCCCCCAACTTACAGATGGGAAAAACCAAGCCACAGAGCAGTTAGGTAAGCAGTGGGGCAAAGAGAGCAACTTAAAGTAATTCAAAGTCGTAATCAGGAAATCTCTCTGCTGGTTAAAACTCAGCTGGTTATGGCAAAGTCACTACCTGGAGGAATCAGGGAATTCCTCCAGAGGAAGCCAAATCCCAAGGAGTTTTTGGTGTTACTTGGCTTGTTATATATCAGCCGTCTTCTGTTATGAAAATCATGTGTGCCTTCATAGTTTTCCCCAATTGACTTTTCCCTAAGAAGGGCTAACAGTGTGGACTGATCACTCTCTGGACATACACATTCCAGGTATTTGGAGAACAGCCTCAGGAAAGGCTTTCTCTGGAATCAGATTATCTCCCTTAGCCACTTTCAAGGACTACAGGAAACACCACCCAGGTGGGCGCCCAACTTTCGAGGATAACAATGATAACAGCCCACCTACAAGTCTCCTGACTCAAATTCTACAAGGAGACACCGCCTAGGTCAGGTGGATGTTCAGTGATAGCTTTACACAGTTTAGCTCAGACCCTCCTTTCTTACAGCCTTACTAACTTTATAGACCTCTAACTCCTTACCTAACCACTTCTAGGAATATTTAGATAACTTTCTGTGCTGACAGCTATGCTCAGCCAGAACCCCAGTTCAAGCCTCCCTGTAATTATCATCATTGGCAGCATCCGGCCAGGTCCATCCCCACATGGAGGAAAGTACTTTATTAGAGATAACTCTGTACTCTCTAACAACAGACTTAAGCGTCCAGGCTACCTGTTTGAGAAGGCCTGGCGGATGTGCTAATTAAGCTTTACTTCCTCCTTTCCCAAACCTTACCTCTAGTTCCAGATCTCTCTTTAACTATCACCAGAGGCATCTAGCTGTACAGGTTGCCTAGCTACCAAACACATTTTCCCCCACCCTACAGAAAAATGGCAGATAGCTTGGACAGATATGAGTCACAGGAAAAAAGAAGACAGTTTTATTTTCTCCCATTGACCTAGCAACTTATAGATTCTTAACATTTTCTACCAATCATGTTTAAGACTATAGTTGAGCACATAAGAGCCCTCTTCTTAGATATTACCTGAATTTAGCCTTTAGTTAATTCATTTCCCCATTGGTCACTTCCCTTTGGGGTTGCAAATGATAATTAACGGTTATTGCCTCCCTATGTGATTCTTATCACCCCTCTGTTTGACCCTGGAAGCCTGGCTTTACACTGCTAAGGGAATACTGCTTGTAAGTGTATACATACCAGGACTTCCAGGGCACTGGAGGATGGAGAAGAGAAAAGAGAATGAAAGAACTAGATGGGTAAGAACTTGAGAGGAACAAACTGAGATGGGAAAGAACTGGATTGAAGGGCTAGAAGAGAGTACTAGAGAAACAAGATGGAAGATGAGAAAGAGTCAGATGGGAAAGCCCTAACAGGGTAAGAACAAGGTGAAAAGGACCTAGATGAGGCAGAATTAAGACGAGAGAATTAAGACAGAACTTAAGAGGGAACAGTAGATACAGAGAGAAATCAGGCAAGAAAGGAGCTAGGCAGGAGAACAGAACTGAAGCTGTGTATAAAGGATGTTATGCCAGAGGAATTAAAGCAAGTGGACTATAGAGCTCGGTGTGCTGAGATTCTGTTTCCTGAAAATAGTCCTCGCTGTTAGTAGTTCTCTCTCCTGAGCCCCTGGGATGTATAATATTAAGGCTGGTCCCACTAATATTATACAAGATCTCTCTATAGTAGAAAGACCTAAGGCTGTACCTGACTGTCCAGGGTGGTCTGCTCTACTTGCCCAAAGATGTGGCCTTTTAAAAAATAAATAAGTTGGGCAGCGGTGGTGTACGCCTTTAATCCCAGCACTCAGGAGGCAGAGCCAGGCGGATCTCTGTGAGTTCGAGGCCAGTCTGGTCTACAGAGCGAGATCCAGGACAGGCACCAAAACTACACAGAGAAACCTTGTCCCGAAAAACCAATAAACAAACAAACAAACAAACAAATAAATACTAAGAAGTGAAGTCTAAACATCTAGGCAGCACACCCAGCTTTTGAATTGGACAATTCAAAGACATGCGGATGAGCCGAAGCCGTTCCAATGCCCCGATGCCGGGGAGGGTTCTTAGGTGTACCCCTGGCTGGTTTTACACCTACTTGCCAAATGTACAAGACATGAAAAGTGAGTTCCTGGTATGGGATGCCAGGAGTTCCTGGGCCATCTTGCTCATCAAAGACCCCCTAGTTTCTCATTTGTTGACGTTTCTAGTGGGTTCGCTGACACGGTGGCTCGGCAAGGAGGTGAATCTGCAGCAGAGCACTGGTGGACATGATTTCCTGTCTTCTTCCTTTCAGTAAAGAGTATCCCGTGGTTCCCAGGAGCACAGTGAGGCACAAGGTGACCTCCAGCCACAGTCCCTTCAGCAGTGAGACCCGAGCTCTCTCCACCTCATCCAATTTAGGGTCCCAGTACCAGTGTGAGAACGGTGTCTCCGGCCCCTCCCAGGACCTTCTGCCCCCGCCCAACCCGTACCCACTGGCCCAGGAGCACAGCCAAATTTACCACTGCACCAAGAGGAAAGGTGAGTGTGACTGACCGGGCCTGCCAGTGCCTCCTCCTTTACCGCATTCCTCCTTGGGGTGGAGTGCCCAGTGACATTCATTATTATTATTATTATTATATCATCATTATTATTATTTAAATAAGTAACGGAGAAATATAGAAGTGATAGGAGATTCAAACCACACAGGAAAAGGAAAGAGGTTCATTTAATATGTCTATAAGTTCAGCCTCCCCTTGAGGAAGATGGAAAATGTCCAGATCTACTTTACAAAGTGTGTGTGTGCATGTGTGTGTGTGTGTGCTACACACACACACACACACATGCACACACATATACATACATAATATATATACACATACATACACATACACACAGATATACACAGAGACACACACATATCCACACACATTACACATACATAACACATACCGTACAAACAGCCCCCCACCACATCTCCTCTCTCTCTCACACATGCATCCTCTTTCATTTACACCCCTGTCCCCCCCACACATACACGCAGTGTCACTCACAACTGATTCTTCCACGTGGCACCCCCACTTTACATCTGTGTAGTTAGGTGTCTCAGGCACGCCACAGTTCCCTTATCAAGTGAGGCAATCGATGACTTTTCCCTAAGTCGTCTGAGCCAAAGGGTCTGTGTCAAGAAAGGAAGCTCTGTCAGCCCCTTCTGGGAGCCAGAACCATGGTGGGTAACCCTGTGCAGCGGGGCTGAGATTAGTTTATCTGAACATTTGTTTGTTTCTATGTGTTTTGGTACAAGGCCTCACTCTGTAGCCCAGGCTGGCTTAGAACTTGCCATCCTCCTGCCTCAGCCTCCTAAGTGCTTGTCCTCTCTGGGTTTCTCACTTTGTAAATGGGGACAGGTGTCCCAGAGCACTGGATGCCTGGTCAGCACCCAGCAGGCTGCGGCTACCCCTGAATAGGTGGCATGGAGTCACTGTGGATACTGAGTCCCTGGAAGATGTGAAGAGACAGTTGCTGTGAGTCACCCAGAGGGGACAGGGTGGCCTTTCAGGCCGTGTTCTTCAGGTTCAGACACCAGGGGTGCAGCCCACCTTTGGGAGTTGGAAGTGTTTGTGGGAATATGGGCTAACATAACCTCTGTCTCCTCCCTCTGACTCAAGGGAGACTGTACTTCAGGCTCCTGGTGGGATGTGTCTTTGGGGACTTGGCATGAAGGTATAAGCTCGTGCATATGTTGTGTGCTTGTCTGGGGTGGGCTCAGTCAGGGGCAATTGTTTTTTTTCCAGAAAAGAGGGAGTGGGGGAGGGACAGAGGGAGGGAATGAAGGAAAGAAAGAAAGAAATAAGGAAGGAAGGAAGGAAGGAAGGAAGGAAAGAAGGAAGGAAGGAAGGAAGGAAGGAAGGAAGGAAGGAAGGAAGGAAGGAAAGGGATAGGGTGAAAGGGGGAGAGGAAGGGTAGGGAGAGGAGGAAACTATGGCTGTCTTTGAGAAGTACAAAGAATGAAGTATTGTCTCATCCATGCATCTTTCTTGGGTGGTCAGTAGTCACGATGCTGGGCATTGGACTAAACAACACGAGGAAGAAACTACTCACGCAACACCTATAATTTGACCCTCCTCCATCTTATAGCAGCCCCTCAAAGCATCTGTCTTTGCTCCCATTTCTCAGAAGAGGGAAGTGAGCCTCAGAGAAGCGACAGGGACAGGAATCCAAGTGGGCGGTGACTTCCTGCGCCTAGGATGCCCTGTCTTTGTCCTCTCCAGCTTTCCAATGGTCAATGTCATCCACCTGGCCACCCAGAGGCTATTTCCTGAGCTCTGCCAAGTGCCAGGCAGTGTACCAGGTGCTTCAGATGGATCTGTGAGCCAGGCAGACAGATTTCCCCCACGCCCCACCCACTCCATCCAACCGGGGTCAGTGAGTAAAGAAAGCTAACTGTCTTGTCACTCAGACAAAGTCCTGGAGCATAAAGGCTCGAGTAAGCATCCACATACCAGTGAAGCCTTTGATTTTTTGTCTTTTTTAAACAGCCCCTCAAATAGATAAGTATAGATCTGGCTCCAGTCACAGAGAGCCACAGGTAACCTCGTTCCCCAGGTGACACCAGCAGGCAGCTCAGAAGCCTCCCTGCGAAGTGTGGGTTGTGTCTACCTAACGGCACGCACGTTTATTTTTAGCCAGACATTTTGTAGCACATCTGGGAACCATAGGGTGCCCAAACATTGGTACCAAAAAAAAAGAAAAATCAACCCCCCCCCAAGAAAACTGCGGTCACTCCTGCAGGTGTCCTGTGTACACAATGCCAACCGCGCAGATGTTTGAAGACATCCAGATGTTTTGCAGTGTTTACTTTTTTTTTTTTTTTTCCAACCTTTCAACCAGCTAGGGCTTTTGGACTGCTGACATTGCCACCCTCGGCCCATTTCCATGCCTGCCACCTCCTCTCTCGATTCCTTCCTCCCAATCTTCCTGCAGCCCACCAGACCTTAAACCCGAAGATCTCACTGTTGCCGGGCTCACGGCTTTGGATTTTTTATTATTATTATTAACTAGGGCGTTCCCCTTTTCAATAACAGCAAGTACAGCTGCAGGGTACCCTTGGCAAGAGAAAAAAAAAAAAGGCAAAAAGGAGCCATTTTTTAGTTTTTGATCCCTTCCAGATTCATTACAAGTTTCAAAAAAAAGGGGATGGGAGGGGGAGGAAGAATAATAAGAAAAAGGTCGGAACACAGTTTGGAAAATCGTAAAATTATACATTCCAGGCTTTAATACCCAGAGAGATCTGGTGCAGAACGCTCAGAAAAACCCCAAGCTGGGTTCCCGATGAACGCTGGACCTGAGGATTCTCAAATTCCTCCCAGGCTTCATCACACTGTAAAGGAATTTTGCCACAGGGTCCAGGCTTCAGGTCGGGCATGATCAATGCACTGTGCGCAGTCTCAGTGTTTGTCTGGGGGAAGATATGGTTTCATTCTTTTTATTGTCTGGGTCAAGGTTAGCTCCCCTGGTTGTAGAAAAACCTGGGGTCAAGTGTTCTAATGGGACTAGCCGAAGACCCGAGGATTCTGCTCAGAGCATACGTACAAAGAATGCCCAAGGACACTGGCAACCCCGCGAACCCAGCTAATTCTTTTGAGTAACAGGGAAGTTCTTCCTGAGTCTGACCACCCAATCACAGTATTGTACTGTAGGAAATCCTGATCCCTGCGTGTTTGCTAGAAGCATGGTTTTTTGTTTTGTTTTTAATGTGGGGTAAAATGGTTTCCGTAATGAACTCAGAATACTCGCTTTAAGGCAGAGCCATGACTCCAATGCTTATGCTCAAAGTAGCCACGGATGAAGGCCTGAATTGCTCCAAGCTCAGTCCCTGACTGTACATGGGGACAATCCCCAAACTCCTCCTTAGGTTTAATTAAGGAAATACCAAGTGTGGTCTCCTGTCTGTCTGCCCTGCGCAGTGAGTCAGCTCAGCCCTTGAAGTAAGAAATCTCTCACTTCAAATCTTATCTCTCTGCATAACCCATGTCTACTCCCTTTCTCTAATTTTCTCTCTTAGCAGACTAGGCAGATGGCTCTCTGAAGGTCATCCAATGCTCCGAGGTATTTGGGTAGATTCCAGAGCTGGAAGCTTCCCAGGGCCACTTTTCAAGTCACTGATCCCATTGAGGCAAATATGGTCACAGTTCCCAAGTGGGTCATATCCCTTACTGGCTGAGTTCATGCAGGGAAACGTCTGTGGCATCTCCACAGACAGAGACCCTGGAAGCCAGTGTATAGGACTCTCTCAGCTAAGGGATCTGCAGGGAGTCAGAAGATGGCTGTAATTCAGAACTTTCTGAGCCACAAAAACCGTAATGGACTTTCTGCTGTTAATGTAACTCAACAGGCTCAGCCAACACAGAAAGTTGTAACACCTTACACAGAAGGATGGGTGGATGGATGGATGGATGGATGGATGGATGGATGGATGGATGGGAGGGTGGATGGATGGAAGGGTGAATGGATGGAAGAGTGGATGGATAGATAAAGGGATGGACAGATAGATAAATAGATGGAGAAGTTGATGGATGGATGGATAGTTAAATGGGTGAATGGATGGATAGATGAGTAGATGGGGTGGGTGAGTGGATGAATGAAAAAATAATTGGGTGGATGGATAGATGAATAGATGGATGGATGGATAGAGAGATAAATGAATGGATGATGGATTTGGAACATACGTGATCCAAACTCTCAGTACTCAGGTTAAATTGGAGATACTGAAACAGCATCATAGGTAGATCTCAAGTAAAAATGAAAACACCCTGGCTCAGAACCCAAGGCACCGCTATGAGTTTACCCACCGGCTTCATACCTGTCTCCCCGACAAGAACACTTGTTCCTGAGAGCAGATCTCTCCCCAGCTTGCTCTCTATTTACAGGGCCCGATATATACTAAGTCCTCAATAAGCATGCCTTTGATGACTTTACCCCAGCTCTGTCGTTCATCACTCACTGTCGGTCATATAACCTTAGAATCTGATATTAGTGTGCAGCATACCATTTGCCCCCAGAAGAATGAGGATTGGGCATTTCTCCAGCTCAGGCTGTCCTGAACAATTCCGTTAAGGGAAAACCCTGCAGTTGCTTTTAAAAACACACAGCATCAGGTTGGCACGGTGGTTCACCTAGTAAAGCACCTGCTGAAAAGTCTGGCAACCTGAGTTCGATCCCTGCCTGACACCCACACGAGGGAAGGCTGGAACCAACCCCCGCAAGGTGTCCTCTGAACTCTACCCGCTTACCGTGGTAAATATTTACCCCCACACCTATACATACATACACGCACACACAAAATGAACACATGTAAAATACTTAAAACAAACCTCAAAATAGCATGGGGAATAAGAATCCAGCATCCCTTCCCCCTTGATAGCCAGGGCTGTAACTGCCTTTGCTACATCTTTGTTTGGGTCCGTTTGGTTGCTAGTGAGAGGCGGGTGAGAACTGAGAGGAAAGAAAGACAGACAAGTGCTCTCTCGGATCCTTGGATC